TTGGTGCTATTTTGCTTTGATAATGTCTTATACTTTGTAGCACTTGAGATCAACATTTGGTGAATTTAGCTACACTGTAGAATCATTTTGGATGGGGATGAGGTTAGACCCCTATTCCATCTGATATTTAGTACCAGAATATGAAGAAGCTGCTTAAGACCAAAATATTTAGCTGGATTTCCATCCCTATCCAGAAGATTTCTTGCAGCTGCCAAAATAATAAGTGGTCATTATCTCACTTTAGTGTCTTGTCCAGAATGGGTGGGTCTGGGAACTCAGTGACCTGAACATATCCTTCTGTGGCATTTTACTAATAATTAGTGTTGGTGCACTTGGGAAATGGTCTCTAATAAACTCTAGCCCTTTATAGAGGTTTAAATGTGACCCCCATCATTTGTGATATGTCCTTTTTTTCCTGTGCACACAGATACACACTGTGTGTGTGTGTGTGTGTGTGTGTGTGTGTGTGTGTGTGTGAGAGAGAGAGAGAGAGAGAGAGAGAAAGAGCGAGAGAGAGAGAGGGGGGAGGGAGAGAGAGCAATGATTGTCATCAATGATTTCCACTCTGGAATAGAGGGGAAAACTAAGTTTGCCTGTCTGTAACGTGAACTGAAATTGCAAATCAGCCATTATAGTTGGAATGTTGTATTTTATTGCTTCTGAACACTCACGGTGCATCTCAAATCTCAGATAGCATGATAAGCAGCAGACTAAGCAGCAGAAATACAAAGATACACAATACTATTTGATTTATCAGAATAAAACTATTAGGTTCTCTCCCAAAGCCTATGAATGAGCCAATCAAGGGATTTGGCCCAGTTAATGATGTCGAAATGAATTTCACCTTGTAGAGTGGGCTTTAAACACAATCATAAAGTGGTTGGTTTCTCTCATAACATCTATGCCACTATTGTACCAGTGAACATATCTTGCCAAACTGGTCACTATTGTAGCTTTCAGGGTTCACAGCTGGGTAATACTACTTGAGACTTTTTCCCCTAGCAATATATATATGTAATCTTCTAGCACTATGAAATCTAGGCATGAAACTTCCAGGTCAATACCAATTTAATTTGTCAGTGTTTTATGATTCAGGCATTTTGGTGTCTTCAGCAATAGAATTTTAACATTATGTTCTACAGGATACCCAAGAATAATGGCAATAGGCTCTAATGATTGAAGCAGGTACTGGAACCCCACCGACTCATGAATAGGTAACCCATACCTGACACTGAGCTTTTTATTTATATGGTGTCTGGGAAGTTTATTATCCAGAATAAAAAAAAAAACAGATCTCAAATTACCCACAGTGTGATGTTAGGCAAATATGTTCATTGTTCAAGCTCCATAGAAGTTCTGTAACCATTTGAGTTGGGTATGTATAAAATAAATTCCCAAAATAATAGTGGTTTACATTAATAAAGCTATGTTCTCTCAGAAAAAAAAGGAAGCTAAGATATAACAAGTCCCATTGTGGTACAGAAGCTAGACTAGGTGCTATTCCACCCCTGCATAGGTCTGTCCTTCTCAAGGTTGTCCCATTTTTCATGATGGTTACAGGGGCCAACAAGAAGGAAGGCAGGTGGAGGGTGGTAGGGAACCTTACCCAGCTACATCAGATTCTTTAACTAGTCTCCCCAGGACACATTGTATTTCCATTTATATTTCAATAATTAAAGTTTGGATGTATGGCCAAGGATAAATGACTTCTTTTAACTCAAAATAGTACCATCCCAATATAATTGGATCTGCGTTACAGGGGAAACATGAAAGCATCTATGATAGTTACAATCCATAGTCTCTATTATCTATAAAGAAAAGGCCAAGAAAGCATGGAGCTAGATTCTGGAAAAGGTTTTCTTTGCACCAAGGATGCTTCATTTAGAGTTTGGGGGATGAATAGAAATCCTCCAAGCACAGGATGGATCAGGAGGCTTCAATGCAGAAAGTATAAAATGCTCAAAGGCACAGAAAATTCTGGTGTTATGCTAACCAATTCAGCCCATTTCTACATTCCTAGTTACTCTCTTTTCTGTTAACAATAGATTGAAAAGCAACAGTTTAAATTCTAATTAATCTAATAGTCATTCATAATCAACAGATTGAAACATGTCAAGAGTGATCACCCTGATATAATTGCAAACAATTTTCATCTTGGACCAAACTAAGACCATTTTATCTGATGATAAAGTATTTCACATTGTGAAAATAATTGAATTAGAATATTTTGGAATCTTAATAAGGGGATTGATGCAGAGGAAAATTTAAAAATCAATGTGTCAAGGAGATATTTGTGTCTTAAGCATTGAGATTAAGCAATGCCCTGTTAGAACTGACTTGCCTCATATCCTAGGGTCTACAGACCCACCCTGAGAACGCTAAGTGGGGCTCTGGCCAAGTTACTCATATAGTATGTCACCTCCTATTTAGCCATTCCTACTATGACTGTTACTTTGGATCTAAGAAAGATAAATTGTTCTTTTCTTAGCACGGTTTTGAAATTGTAAGACATCTTTAGAATTATGTAAGGACTTTTTAATGATTATCTCCTCGGGTTGCATTAGAGACATCAGTTTCTATTAAAATTATCCCAGAGAAACATAAACCAAACCTGAAAGTTCTATAAAGTTAAGGTATAGATCCAGTTAGTTTGAGATGCCCAAGAACACACATTCTCATTACCACTGCCCACCTTGTCCTTCTTCAAGGATCTTGTGATTCTGAGGAGCTTGTCATCTCAAACCTGTCTTTGTCCAGCCCTGAGCAACAGAGCACCAAGAGAGACTCTGAGTACCATGTATTCTCAAGGGAGTCTGTTGCACTAAAGAACCTAGTTTTGTGAGCATTTTCTCCTGCCTCTAGGTTTCTTCCTATTTCTAAGTAATCAGTGTTGAATGTTGAATGTGGTGTAAATATAAAGAATATGGTGTAAATATCGCAGCCACATGTACCCCACAGCTCTTCAGCCCTCTGTAAGCTGAGAAGATTTTTCCTCCATGAGGTCTTCTCTGATTCTCTCATCAAAGTCACTGCATTTTTTTTGCTCTCGGGATACTGTGTCTGTATTTGTAGTTTTCTCATGATTATCTGCTTACTTTTATGATGATTTGGCTATTATCTTCCTTCCAGCAAGACCAGAAGTCTCCTTCAGGTGGGCCCATATATGCTTAACTGTATCATTGAACTCTGCTCCTCACAGAGCAACTGATCCTTAGCAGATCCTCACAAAATGTTATTTAAATTGCTAAATATTTTTTGAAGTAGGTACTTCTGCAACTTCCCTTTTATACTGTCCTCAAAATACAAGTCTGAAAAAAATACATGTTCCATTCATGTGGAAGCCCATCTACAGATAAGAATTTTGAAAATAACTCTACTACAGCTCTACAGAAACCTATCAGAGAAGTTCTAATGACTAGCTATGAGTCTCTTGAAATGTCACTCCATTTCTTTTTTATTTCATCAAAAACAATAATTGAAATAATTTGGTAGCATGATAAGGCTTTGGCATTAGCTCAGTATGGAATTCCAGGATATACCACCTGGTTTCATATGGTGTAGTTGTGTTTTTCTTTTCTTTTTTTCTCTTTGGGAGCCCACCACCCAGCTCCCAAATAGACACACAGAAACTTATTCTTGTTTATGAATGCCTGGCCTTAGCTTGACTTCTTCCTAACTTAAATTATACCATTTATCTTTAACTATGTTTATCTCTGGGCTTTTTACCTTTCTTTATTCCATATATCTTTCTTTCCTTCTTACTCCATGGTTGGCTATGTGGCTGATCCCTGGCATCCTCCTCTCCTTCTCCTTCTTCTTTTCCTTCTTCTCCTTTTCTCACTCCTTGCTCCTCTTCTCTCTAGATTTCTCCTCCTATTTATACTCTCTGTCCACCAGCCCTGCCTATTTCAGCTCTTTATTAGACCAATCAGGTATTTAGGCAGGCAAAGTGTCACAGTTTTACAGAGTTAAACAAATGCAACATAAAGAATGAAACACATCTTGGCATCACTAAACAAATATTCCACAGCATAAACAAATGTAACACATCTTAAACTAATATTCCACAACAGTATTACCTGGCTTGTTTCTCTAACTTAAACATAGGGAAAAAAAAAACATCAAAGATACAAAGAAGCTTGCCTGCCTACTTGATAAAGATAAGGTTTCATTGAAGCCTGATGTGCACCAACTATGAATAGTTTGCTGAATGTATTTAAGAACATATCTGCTTATTAGCCAAGTGTCCGTAGGTAAAACACATAACTTGAACCATAAAATGGAGATACCTTACATGATCATTTTTAAAGTTAATGAGATATTTGTGTTTGTTTTATACAGGAAAGACCCAGACAGAGCCATTCCTTCCCTACACAGACACACAAACACACACACACACACACACACACACACACACACACACACACACACACACACCTATGTCAGTGTTACTGAAACTGTTACTGAAAAAACTAGTATCACAACATTAAAGAAACGTTAATCTACAGTTGAAGTACTCTTATTTTTTAAAATACAATAATGAACCTAATGTGCAAAACCCTTATGCAGTTTGTATTCTAAGTAACATTCAGCACTTGGAGATTATTGACAATGTTTCCAGTTGCTGTTACTTCACAATTGTGTATTTTCTAATTTGAGAGCGACATCATTATTGACACTGAGAATTACTTTTGTACTAAGATTCTAGAACATCAATAGTTTAGAATCTATTTTTAATTTCTCCCCATCCTTCCTAGTACCCATTCTCTGTCTTCCATAATCGTCTCACTTACATACTTGAACTATAAAGATATTTTTATGCATACTACAGATTTCCCCCTAAGCCTGATTCATATTCTATTAACTCTCTTTAAAATGAAGTACATCTTATGTTTCTCAGAGATGAGGGCTGTGTGTGTCATTTGGTAGCCATTGGCCTTACCATAGATCCCTGCGCTGGGAGGTGCCTTGTTGAATTATACATTTCTCTTTCTCATTAGATTGTTGGCTGTGATCACCAGTTGGGAAGCACCGTCAAGGAGGATAACTGTGGGGTCTGCAACGGAGATGGGTCCACCTGCCGGCTGGTCCGAGGGCAGTATAAATCCCAGCTCTCTGCAACTAAATGTAAGACACTACAGAGATGGGCAATTTTGTACTTGTTGACTTGTTATTCAACCCTCACCTCTCTGTGGCTCCCCTCTGTAACTGGAGAATAAAACATCTACCAAAGTGAGAGGAATCTGAAAATTTGAAGTAAATATGTTCTTATTTTGTGGATTCATGTGGAATAAGTCAGATCACCATTATAACCTGAGGGAGGAACCCTTTGCTTCTAATACACAGTGGGAGAGAACATTAGAGACAGCCAAGCTTTTCTGCTCAATGGGAATACAGACTGCAACCTAGCTCCTGTCTCATATGTAGTCTGAGATGCCTGATTAAATTATCACAGAGAAAGTGGGGAAATCAAAGTAAATTCACCCCTACTACTGCAAAGTCACATGGCCCCCATTACAAGGTGGCCTGAGGTCTGTGCTGGAAGTAGGCCAAAGTTTGGTGATACCATTTATGTTTGTGAAGCCATTTGGTGATCTTTGTGTCCTCATCTCCCTATATCTGGAAGTAATATGTGCCTACTATACATGTGTGTGCTTTGAACTCCACACTAGCACCTCATGTAGTCTTTATAGGAACACCATTAACAAGGTAGTCTTAATTTTCATGTTACAGAGGACATGACTGAGACCTTCCCAGATGGTATGACTTTCTTGGGTAACATAAAGAGGTAATATTTGAGCTCAGAGTTCTGAATCCAGTACCTAAACACTCATTCCTCTACTGTCCCATAATGCTACTGAGTAACTCTGGGGTTAGATATTTATAAAGCAGATAGATCAACTCAGAAGACCAAGGGCATCTGCCTAGTTGAGTCTTGTAAGAATAGAAGTCATAAATGTTGTGGTATCTAAACCATGGAGCTGCATGTCCATGTGAATTTTTGTAATAGTTTCCTCTGTGAGGATCACTACACAGAAAGAAGTGTGGCCATTAGATTCAAGGGCATGGGTTTTAGAGCCATTTTGACCCTGGCCTAATGTTTTCATTTTCTACAACCCTTCAGTATGTTATTTTCCAATATCTATTTCCATATGTCTCTGCAGCCTGGGAAATAAGAATAAATTTTTGAGTGTGGTTTTGTTCTCTTTACTTGTTGATTAGTTAGAGGAAAACAATTGACATGTGGCAGGTTTATGGCTTTAAATGGACCTGCAGGTCAAGAGCAAAGGCAGATGGAGTTCTTCTGGAAAGCACTGAAGAACTATTCCATGAAAGCCATAAAAAAGGCACCTTGCCAAAAGGGAGGAGCCTCTTAGGAAGAGGGCAAGAAGAATAACCAGGGATGTTTAAGCACATGAAGAATTGTAGATCCCTACTTAGGAAGCTCATCACATTTTCACTACCCTGGAGGCAGGGAAGAAATGTGATTGTCTGAAAAACTAAAACTTCTAAGAATGCTGGCAGCTAAAACGAAAGATGGGGTGACTCAGACATTGATAAAGCATATCCAGCAAGAGTTTTCTTTGCTCATATGTGTTGGTCATATATATTGGTAGGGTTTTTTTATATGATGAAGAATTAAGGAAGTCAGATGATGGAAACCAGAAATGGGTAGGGGTAGCATTCTTCTGTAACCTCTGAAATTTTGGTAGAAGAATTTTATGAAAAAAAATGCACTTAAAGGGCCACTCTTTTTTTAAAAAGAAAAATCTGTCAATAGTTACTGAAATACCTGTCTTGAGTTAAAGCATAGTCTTCATGGTTTTTGCCTATTTGGTTTTTTTCGTGTTTTTTTCCATTTTTTATTTAAATTAGAAACAAGATTGTTGTCAATCCCAGTTCTAAAGGGCCACTCTTACCAGAATTCTCTAGGAAATGCTGAAGAATTAAAATCTTTCTAATTATTTGTTACACAATTGAATTGGTGTCCATTATCCAGGAATGCAGGAATTGCCATTAAGCACAAAGGGTTGTTAGGCATGTGTGTAGCAACTGCTCTCTGGTGACTCCTGGCAGCCTGTCTTAATAGAGGGTCTTCCTTTATCATCATGCCTCTACCTTTCTTCTTACCCTACTACTGGGGACATCAGGGACTCCCAGGCTCTGAGCCATGGCAGTACAGGAAGAGAAGCTCTGAAAGAACAAACTGAGGCAAGTTGAGAGCCATATGTCACCCGCAGTTTTGCAAATACATACCTCAGTGAAAGGGACTCCATCAAGACCAACAGTGGATAAATTATAGAACACACAACCTGATGATTATACCTAATGACAAAATGCAATTGATTCGTTTACCTTAGCCCTGATGATGCCTCATGACAAAAAGATTTATATCAATAAAGCCCAACATGTGCGTGCTCCTCACCACAATCTGTAGCAGATGCTGAGTGAGCTTCGTCACTTAGATTTTTCTCCACCCCAGAAGAATCTCCCTGTCCTGGATTTACAGACTTCAAGGCAGCCCACAGGCAAGGGTGATTAGCTGTTCAACAGGCAGTGTGCAGGCCAGGTGAGCATGCTCCACCCCTGAGGCTCCAGAGGAGTGCTGCCAGGTCTCTCCCGGTGTCTTGCCAAAAAGATCCATAAGCCAGCCACATGCTCACTTCCAACTCCTAGCCCTTGGATTCCCCACACTGAACTCATTTTCTTTCTAAATTTATATCCAAGTTTTTTTTCTCATGTTATCAAAACTCATGGGAACAGAGGGAAAACAAAAGAGTGGAGAAAGACCAATGCCAAAAGTGCCAGAATGAAAAGAAAAAAAGATAGGAGTAATTTTTCAAATGGCTGCTGGTGAATGTAAAGGAAGCCACCATTTTATCAGAAGGCATTATAATTGCCCACTCCTCTGTCATAGCAAAAGACTCCATTGATGGTGGTCAATCCTTCTTTCATATATGATTGACTTCCTCAGACCAATAAGGAAAAATAATTAGCTAACTTTAACTTGCCTTTGATTCTTAAAATGTAAAGGCTCATTTTTTCTCACAAGCCTCATTGACATGTGAGGTAGTATGTGTCTTCTTAGATCTCTACATCCAAATCTACCCTGTTTGCTATGAATTTATATTCATTTTGCAGAACTTTCTAATGTCACTGTAGGTTTTGAAGCCAGCAGGATGTCCTCAAGCTCTCTCACCACACTCCTTGAGGGGCAAAGATCAAATATGTTAATTTATATCAAAATAAAATGAATCTCCTACATCTCAGGGATGCCCCTCTCAGGCTTATAATGGCTGACTTATAATGGCTAAAGGTTAGAATATTCCTGGACTGTCAGTCTGGCTCAAAATTTTTGAGACCTCGGAAATCTACCAGACCTCCTGTAGTAGTTCAGTACTTATCCCTAGCATAGGTATGGACTTTGGGAGCCCATTCCACATAGAGGGATACTCCCTGAGCCAAGACACACTGTAATGGGCCTAGGCCCTATCCCAAAGGATACAATAGACTCAGATGACCCCCTATGGAAGGCCTCACCCTCCCTGGGGAGCAGAAAAGATTTGTGATAGGTAGGGTTTTAGTTGAGGGAGGTGGTAGGGGAGGGATAAAGAACTGGGATTGACATGTAAAACAATCTTGTTTCTAATTCAAATAAAAAAGATTAAAAAATTTACAAGAGAAAGGAGAAACACACACACACAAGAAAAAAAACAAAAAACAAAACAAAAAAAACCCGCAGGCCCTCTAAGTATAAAATACAGAAATATTTTCCCCGCAGGCCCTCTCAGTATAAAATACAGAAATATTTTCCCTCGTGTATTATTACTTCCGGTTGTAAAAAATTTACAAGAGAAAGGAGAAACACACACACACAAGAAAAAAAACAAAAAACAAAACAAAAAAAACCCGCAGGCCCTCTAAGTATAAAATACAGAAATATTTTCCCTCGTGTATTATTACTTCCGGTTGTACTCATAATCCCTTCAAAGATTTCTATCCATTCATTCATAAGCAGGCATTTAGGAGACAAAGGCTATGCACTGATGAGCTGTTCCCAGTGCTGGAGATGCAGCAAAGAAAACAGGCAAAAGAACCTATTTCTCCATGAGACTTACAAACTAGTATGAGGAACCCTCAGACAAACAGATAAACAAATAAGATGCATATGTGTCATTGGCTACTAGAAGAGATGGAAAACAATAATCAGGGAAGGTGAAGAGCCTAGGACGTGGATGAGCTGTCAGCCAAAGGCTGGAGAAGAGTTGCAATTTTAAATAAGTTAGTGAGAAAAGGACTGGACGATAAGAAACCTGATACTTGATAGAGGTGAAAGGAGGTCATGATAACAAAAGTCAGGTATTTGGCATCGTAACAGAGAAGAGAATTCCAAGCAGAATGAAGGACAAATACAATGGTCCCAAAGTATGTACATTTGTGACAAATTCAATGAGGGACAGCAAAAAGCTTTTAAAAGCCTAGAGAAATGTTGAAGGCAGGAAGGCAGTGGGGTGAAGAATGCCATGGGTGGTGTGGCGATTTTTTTTAAGGAATTTGGATTTGGATCTTAGTCTCAGTGAGATAAGGAGCCATGGGGGATTTTGAAGAGAATGTCTGAATGGGAGCAGAGCATGGAATTGGGATGACTATGGAAGTAGGAGACGAAGTCTGGAGGCTATTGCAGGAAGCTAGGCCAGAGGTAATGATGGCTTGGAGCAGTAGCTGTGGATAGGACGAGAAAGGTTCAGTTCTAGATCTACTGTATTTCTAAGGATCTAGGACGCCATTGATTGAGACATGTTCCATTATTTCATGTGCCACATAAAGAAGAAAGAAGCTGTCATTTAAACTATGATTAGAACACAACTTTCTAATGGATCACTCCAGGTTTTGACTTCATCCTTCATTTTAGAAAGATTTGCTTTACATTTAGACATATTTAATCATATACTTCTTTATATGTGAAAAAATAAAATGCAATTAAAGTAAATTAATAAGTAAAACTAAAACTAAACTTGTTTTTTTCAGAACTCAGCCCTTTTGAAATTTCTTTGGGTATTTTTTAAATTTTTTGAGACTTTCATATTATGAATATTTTATTTACATTATTTTTACTCCACCAATTC